TTGTTCGAATTAAATTCGAACATAAAATTCGAATATTGGTTCGATTATAGAACGATCGTAAACGTTCCAGAAACGTTGAAAATAGTTTTGACTGGACGTGAACAGGAGACGTTCAGAAATAGAATCGGGACCAGGTCTCTAATTAGACTGGAAACGGGGGACCTAATTCTTGCATTCTGTGAAAACGGGTAAGATTGGCTATAATGTAATTATCTTAATCTTCACTATCGTTACTTTTTAAAAACCCAGCGAAGCGGGTCCTTGCAGCTAGTAATTATAATAAGTTAATATAAAGTTAATATATAATAAGTTAATATATTAATATTATAATAAAGTTAATATATAATAAGTTAATATAAAGTTACAATAAATTAAGTTAATATACAATTATATATACAGTACCTAATTAATATATAATTATATGTACAGTACCTAATTTATATATAACACTGTACAGACGATAGTAAACTCAATTTACCCGCCTAAACTCTCCGTAGCGTGGCGCTGGACGGCAGAAAGTAGTTCGGCTGCCCGATGACGTTTTACCGAATTATAGGAGTTTTTTACCATGTTTGTACGGATACCGTCGCAATTTTTTCGCCGTCATATAGGAATCCGAACTATAGGAACCCTTGTTATAAGGGGGTCGACTGTATTTTAAACAGGTCGCTGCACTACCAACGAATTTTTCATTGCTTGTTCTGTGACAAAACTGAATTTTGGTCTTTTAAATTGAAATACCTAAATAAGAGGGAGCCGAAATTTTCCTCCGCCCCGGGCGGCTGACACCTACGGTACGCCACTGCTTTTAGTCGAGCTCAAACCAAGGAACAACTGCCAGCGATCAGTGGTTTTTATGCCAGAAAAAGCGTGTCGTTCTCTTATTTTTTCCTCCGTATTCTGTGCGACAATTGACCAGCGACGATTCATTTTAAAACGAACTTTAGATGAGACGACACTCTAAACCAGTGTTTTTCAACCTTATTGAATACGCGACCCCTTTACAAGTTAAAAACTTCTGGCGACCCCCCAGGTCGCCAGAAGTTTTTAACTTGTAAAGGGCCATATTAAAACTACATCAGTGATTTTAAAAACTACGTATTTAATTTTCTTTCTGTTGAGACCTAAATATCGATGGAAAAATCAATTATATTGTAAAATAAACAGCTACAGCCTTCTCACTGAAATTGTAGTTTTTTATTGTGATGTAGGACCTGCAAACACTTGTCTTTTTCTTTTACCCGCGACACCCCGTGTAAGGCTTTGCGAACCCCCTGGGGGTCGCGACCCACAGGTTGAAAAACACTGCTCTAAACAAATTAATTTAGTTTGTTTCACGGTTTACGAAAGAACTCTTACACGGTTTCATTCCAATTGCTAGGCAGAGAAAAATTGCTTTGCTTCCGAACATTGGCAGAGTCGTAACTTTCCCAGCGAATAGTAAGAAGTAAGAACCTACGATTGTTTCCGAAAGACGCGTTCTGAATTTTAGCCATTTATGCAATAATGGGTACGTTCGTAAAGTCGAACGAGTTAAAGGAGAATGACGTCATCGTTATTCTTATTTCGTTAGACTTTTCGACCGATTCGTTTATAACTAAATAGCTGTTTCTAAAATCAAAGATATGAATGTTGCTAGTGCAACATTATCCGAAATATATTTCTTAGATTGATTCGGGTGGATAGTTATTTCAATCATTTCACCTTTTAATTCATAGTTTAAACACTCGAGTAGATTTAGAAACATCGATATCGTCGGGCGCCATTTTCTTAACGAAGTGAACAAAGAATGTGGACTTACTGAGGTTCTGGTAAAACAGTAACGTAGTAACCTTACTGTTTTACCAGAACCTCAGTTTGCTATTATCTTATTGTATCAACATTGCCGTTTTTAATGGAAAATTTTGTTTTATCGCGTGCTTAGTCTTTTAATGTTCAACGCATCAAATCCACATGTCAAATGTAAGTCCACATTCTTTGTTCTTTTCTGTCAATCACGGTCTTTTTATAAAAATTGTTAACTTCCTAATATTTTTTGTAGAAAAAAGCTGATGAGGGACTCCATGTCCGAAATGCATTCTAAAAATAAAATAGTGTTTTTCTAACTCAAATTTGATGTCCTGTAGTGGTGTAATAAGTCTAGCGGCAAAGAAAAGCCAATTTTAGTGCTGACAAGCCATTCAGAAGACTAGACAAGCGTATCATAGTACACATTTGACATGTTAACCACATCATAAAGATTTTGTAAACGATGTTTGAAGTTCGAAGAAATAAAGTTTATTTATTTTATTTTTTGCTGGGAAGAATATAAGCTTCTGTAGGCCTCCTCTTGAATTCGCTAGACCGTCATTGCTTGTAATTGTAAGCAAGTTTCTGATTACAAGTTTTGCAATGTCAGTTTAGTTTATATGTTTTGGGATATGTTGTAGATCTTGATATTAGACGGTAAATATTAATATCTATAATGACAAAAACTGCACTTACTGTATTAAAATTAAACAAAAATATTCTCGTAAAGAGTAAATTATAGTGTTTCTCACATGCTTTCTAACTGTATATTTAGAATATCGTACATCGATAATTCGATTATTTTTCCAAACGACAAAATTTATAAAGAAAATATTCATTTTATTAAGAAAAATACTATAAAAGTAATCTTTAGTGAAGTACTATACACGTATCTTGTAGATAGATCCAAAATCTCCGAAACCTTTGATCTAAACTAATCGTTAGACATCAGTTATCAATAAAACGATTTTGATTTTAATGCTTTGAATTTCGAAAAACGGTTTTTGATATACGAAAACTCACTCTGTTATTTTGAACAATAAAAATACAATTTAAATACTTCCATCTTTTCACTTCCACATTTTCAGACAAAATTAATGGCGCATTAGACGGACTTTTTTAATTTACAATATAACTTGAAAACATTTGACATTATATAACGTATCAAAACTTATGCTTTTAAAAATGCCCTAATTAAAATTGTTTATTAATATTAAAAATATTTGTATCTAAATATATAAAATTACTTGTCCTGACTGACTGAGTCACTGATTCATCATCGCCCAGAGCAAACCGCTGAACCTAAAGAGGTGAAATTTGGTACACAGTTAGGGTACGTCACGGAAACGCACACTAAGAAGGGATTTTTCAAAATTTTCCCGTGGGGAGAGAGAGAGAGAGCATTAATTAAAGCTTAACCGGAAGAACAGCTTCTACTGTACTATTTTAGATGCGATTTTTTGTTTTCAACGACGTTTAGTCTTCATTAAGTACTTAGGGGTATTAAATTGATAACATTTCACACATTGTTATAAATATTTTTATATATTTCGATTTTTTAACCAAATGTTCGAACCATTTTAAATTCGAATTTGTTATTACATATTGGTTCGATTATAGAACGACTGTAAACGTTCCAGAAAATTGATCAAATTGAAAATAGTTCGTTTGATTCTCGGCAATTCTCATCATTCTCAGCGATAGGTGTTATATAACAATTACTATGGTTGTTGAAATATTGAATATAAATGAGGTTTGCTTGCAAAACCTCTGCGGGCAAAGTCGCGGGTAACAGCTAGTATGTATATAAAAATATAAAATTTAAAATCGTTCTTTATTTCACAAATATTTAAAAATCGCGTTTCTTATTCGTTAATCATTATTTTAATTCAGTTATAAAAAAATTTAGCAACGAGTTGCATAACTTTCCCGGCTTTTATGAGATTTTATTTTTAAAATAACACTTGTATTACTAATAAAAATAAATAACTAAATTGTATGTGGCGCTATCTATTATGAGATTTTGTTATAAAAATTTCATATATTTTTAATTATTATAAAAATCTAACAAGTAAAATCTCCATTAAGTTTGACTCCTCACGAGATGTATCATATGACCCTCTTTACCTTTCTAACCCTCTATCCCTTACCTTTCACAACAAAAATTTTATAGCATCAATGCCCCTTTTATACAAGCTACCGTGCCAAATTTCGTTTCTTTATCTTCACCTCGTCGTGAGATATTAAGCGAAATAGACTTTTAAATATAGGCACAGTGTAATTTTAATCGAAAGATATGACGGATCGAACCTCACACATCTGCCTATCCCTACATCGGGGTCATTATATCCGACAGATATGACTCTGAAAAATTGTTAGATGTGCTCGTCCTGATTCCATCCTCACCTTCCTGGATCATCCACAGCGATTTGCCGATGTCTCAGCCGTCTCGGCCGTCAAATTTTGTAATTACATTATCGTAAAAATGATTACAGTATCATTTACAGATTACGTATTATCGCCATTCTGATTATGATATTGTTATAACGGGTTAAATTTAAATCGTAGAAATGTAAATATCATGAAATTAGTGTAATCATCCATGCTTAAATAATTTTTAACGATATATCAAAAACGAATTTTGTTATATAATTTGTCATAATAAAAATTCTATTAAAATAATAATAAATATTTATATGTATTTCAATTACTGTTTAAAAATATATAAAATTTTAGTTATAAATCCGTCAATATTAATTTTATTATAATTATTAAGAATATATCAGTTGATATGATTTTTTTAAACAAGAAACATCCTGATTGGTTACTGTTTAACAATAAAAAGGATTATTAGTTGTAATCTTTTATAAAGAAAACGTGATTGGTTATCACGACTTTGACGTAAAAAAACATGTGATTATAACTAACGAGTAAGTAGTATGTTGTTGTAGTATCATTCTATGTCGTCTGCAGTTGATTTTTAAAAACAAAATGGAAAGTTATGAAACTGAAAAGTGTTTAAGTATACAGGAAGTATTCGATGGCGTCGTAGAAATTGCCGAAGGATTTGAGAAGATTATCGATTCTCAAGGTGATGTGGAGATAGTCAAAAGTGTTTTGAAAAAAGTCATTTGGTCTTTAGAACATTTAAGAAATTGTGTTTTGTTAAATGAGAGAATTGAATGCGAACTTTGTGATTTGAAATCTAAAGTCACTCAATTAGAATATGACAAGGAAGAAAAAGCAAAATTAAAAAAGAAATTCGATGAGGTAAGTTTACAACGTATGAGTAATGAATAAAAGAAAACAATTGGTGATTGAATTGAGGAAATGCTGCTGAATATACCTATACAATAATTATAGCTATTTGTTTCATAATTCATTCATTTATTATTTATTAATAGTTTTTTCTCCAGTTGAAATGTTCAAAATGTTTTTATCAATAAAGAATGTACATTTTAAAAGGATGAAAATATAATACCGTATTTCTATATTATTGATTTACTAAAAATAGATTACATAAAGTAGATTCTATATAATTTGTTTTATATTTAAGTAATGTACTGTATATCAGATAAGAAGCAAACAGTTAAGCTGGTTTGAAAAGTTATCTGATTTTTTGAGGTAGCAGGTATTTTCTGCTGATTAGAGATATTTATCTGATATGTGAGTTTGGATTAGTTGTTATATGATTTTATTCGTATTTTATAACAAAAAATATAAACAGACTTGCAAACTTTTATAGGAATTAGAACAAATTGAGGAATATTGGAAGAAAGAAAGCAAAACGTTAAATACACAAATTATTAAACTTCAACAAGAAAATCAACGTTTACAGAAATTTCAAACAGAAACTTCTGAAGAATTAAATAAGGAAGAAGGTAATCAATTTCAAATTTATATTATTTTTAAAAATAAAATTATATATAATTAAATCTTGGTATAGCATTTATTGATATAATGATGAGAAATATAGTTTCCTATGCAATTCATATTGGCTTAACATAAAACTTCTCCCTGTAGAACAACGATAATGCAATAAATTAAATTCTAATTAATTTTGATCACTAGACATCAGTAAAGATGAGAGTAAGTTACCAGATTTAGTGTTTTTGTATTTTAGTGCCTAAACTCATTTAACATAATAAAGCTTTCTTAAAAAGTGTACAGGGATGTTGCAAATTATACTTATTAAAATAATTAAACAAAGTATTTACCGTAACAAATTATATTTTAGAATTAGTTTACATTCACTAATTGTTTTTCTTAGATCATTTTTGACTAGAAAGATTCAGATTTTGACTGATTTTTGATTTTGATGTTTAACATGTAGGGCCTACAGTACTCTAGAAGTAAAATCATATAAATCTTATACTAGAGAATTAATTCTTCTAGAGAATTAAATCTTATACTAGAGGATTAATAATACTATATGTTTTTTCTTCTAATATTGTCTAACTGTAGAAATAGCTCTAATGTACCCTGATGATGATAAACCAGGAAGGGGATACTTTTTAAAAACAATATTTTTCTTGTTCTGCTAAATATAGATTTGACTGTAGTGTAAACAATAAAAACTAATTTTATTAAAACAGTATTTATGAATTTTCTCAAAACTTATATGATTATATTATAGCTCTAAAAACAATGCTTATAAAGTATTAAAATAGAAAGATTAAAGATGCAACTTTATTTTGTTCATAGTTAAATTTTATGTTTTATTAGATTAATTGATGTTGTAGCCATAATGTAAATCCAAAATTTTATTATTGATATTGATTTACTTTGTTTATATCAAGTTGATATACTGGTAATCAAAACTTGATGTAAATTTTGTTTTTAAATTTAACCTTAAGTTTTTGTTTTTACCATATTCAAATTAAATATACAGTAATACCTCGACTTATGCTACCCCGACTTACGCGAACCTGGAGTTACACGATTTTCAAATCTCGTCGATTTGTCTTTTGTTTGAGCACCAAGCAACTCTCAATTACTCAATCCCTCCACACTATTGTTTGGCTTATATGTTCAGATGTGTCGTGCAGAATCGACACACAGCCACAATTTATTTTGTGTTATTTATTTCTGTGTTTGTTATGTCTACGGAGACTTGAAAGAGACTATGTGGTGATTTCTTCTAACCATGAACAAATCAAAAGACAAGATAAGATTAATGAGAACATTTATTAGCTTACGTACATCTGACTTGGGTTTTACACAAATTGCAAAATTATACCCCAACTTACACGAATTCGACTTACACGGTTATCACTCGGTCCCACCTATCGCGTAAGTTTGGGGTATCACTGTATAGAACAAATAATTTATAAGTATTAGGCCTGTTTTTGAGTCTATTTAAATACAATATAATCTTTCTAGTTCATTCATCAAATTAATAAAAAAGTTTTTATTCATATTTTTATACATTAGTTGTTTTTAATTGGAAGCTTTTATGTTTTCTATTTAATTATCTAATTTACATTATTTAAAGTAAAAAAATTAATTAAATTAAAATTAATCAGATAAATGATATTTGTAAAAATTTTCAAAAATGTTTACTTAAATAAATTAATAATTGTAATTTTTTTTTTCATATAAATTTAGTTAAGTGTTAATTATTTTATTTTGAGACTTTTGACAGCCCATGTTTTTCTTTTTCTCTTTCCTTTTGTGCTTTTTTTTTTTTCCTCTCACCTCCTGATGGTAAAATATTTTTAAAGAAAATCTTGGTACACTTGTAATATGAAATTTCATTGGCATCTGTTTTAATGTAGATGATTCATTGTTGAGTAGTCTGTTCATAGTCTATGATCAATAATATGATATGTTATCATTATATCAAAACTCATTTGCTATATTAGAATAAGTAATTCTATTAAGCCTATCTTAGAATACATATGAATACTAAGATAAGCTTAATAGGCTTTGTGGAAACATTCATTGTGGGGATGAATGTTTCCACAGCTGATACTACCAACCACATTCAATAAGTTTGTTTGTGGCTGACAATTGTGATGTACAGTAAAACCTTTATTAGAGAGGTTGAGGCGCATGTTTTAAACGTGTAAATGTGTACATGTGACGTTCGGCGCCTCTTTCCCGTGAGCCTAAAAGTTTGACAATGGTGTTTGGATAGTCGGTGGAATTACACTCGACATTCCAAACACCATCGTCAAACTTTTAGGCTTACGGGAAAGCGGCGCCGAACGTCACACGTACACGTTTACACGTTTAAAACGTGCGCCTCAACCTCTCTATTATTTCAATACTCAAGGGACCAAAAAAGCACAACTTCAAATTATCCAGGTTCAGATTAGTTAAACTTTTTTCAAATCAAAGTTTTTTGTAATTCTCAAATAAAATTATGATATTATCCTATATAATTTCACCTGTTCATTTACAAATGAATTAATATTATAAGTTATTACTTAGTAATTTAAGCAATTTTGAAAAAACTGTCAGTTGGCATTTACTTAATGAAAATAATGAAAACATAAATAAATTACATTCAAAGCAAGACCCGAAAATAACAGACAAAACAAGCTTAGCCATTATTACAGATTATCAATGAAATTAAATATAAAAGATTATTTCAGAAATTCTTGAGAAATACAATTTCCTGTTCTTAATTTCCAAAGGTTCCAAAATGTCAAGAATTTGGAAACTTTAGTAACAATATCTCCTTTGGCATATCCTACAGATAGTTTTCTTAAACCTTTCTTTCTGCTTACCACTTTCAGTATTGCTTTACAATTAAATCAGTCAACATTTGAAACTAGGCCTGGAAAAAGCATAACTATCACTTTGGTCATGTGAAAAGAAAAGCATCTTTAGGGATGTTTTGACCTATCCATCTCCTGACAACAATTTCTAACAAATCTGCCTATCTTTCCTCATTTATTACTTAACATTTCATTATTCCCCAAAGTTTTACAAGAAAAATCGATTAATAGACAGTAATGTCTCATGTCAAAAACTAGTGGTGCCAAATTTAGCTGCAAATTCAAGTATTTAGGCTATGATTTGGAATTATGTTCAAAATATAATCTAGATGAAAATCAGCCCAAAAATGTGCAATTTGCAACCCCAAAAAATAAAGCATGATTTGCAGTTAAAATAGCCCAACTGGGGGTGATTTGATTTTTGGGAATAGCATAATATAAATTAAACAACAATAGAATTAGACAATAAATTAATTTAATTCTGTTTTATGATCAGCCTCCACAGTCACCATATAAAATCAAAGTTGAATCATAAATCCTTAGAACAATTTTGAATTAATAATTATTTATTGTATAAAATTTCACTCTTATAATTTTTATTTCTTATTAATTAATGAATTTTCTTTGAGAAAATGAAAAGAAAGAATATCTAAAAGTAATAAAACATTCCAAAAATACCTGAAAAATTGCATTAATCACTTTAATTTCTAATGTTTTCATCCTTATTTAAATTAACTTCTTTAGGAAAAACTTACAAAATGAATGATGGTTATGTTAAAATAAAACAAAAAATTTAAAACCTTCCAGAATATACAATTTAAACATTAGTACCAGACTTATAATTTCAGTTGGTTAAATATGGCCAAAAACATTAGAAATTAAAGTGATTCCAAAAATATTTTAAAAATTACATTAGTGTTTTAAGCATTGTATTTCTCAGTAGTATCTAAAGTAGCTTAACAATTTTATCCATATGGGAAAAGAAACATAAGCAGAGACCAAAAGACACAATGCAAGGATCAGAAAGAAGCTGGAATGAATTAAAAATCTTAACCCTTGAAGTTAATAATAATCGTAATTATAATATTAATAATGTTTTAACAGCAAACAAACAACATTCATCCAGTGTTATCTACAGTTTTTTGCAGTATTAGCTTCAATAATAGCTAGCATATAATTGAATTAAGAAATGACAACAGTTTAAACCACTGCACTGTGAGCAAATGACAATTAACAAGATTTAAAGTACAGGTTAAGATTAACAACAATAATTTATAATGATTATAAGTTATATATATTGAAACTGATAGTGTGAAAAGACAGTATAAAAATGCCTTGTTACCCAAAGATAACTATTCAATAGGCTTTGTAAGATTAAAAACAAAATCATACTAATTATTGTACTAAATTAATATAAAGTAATTGCTTTTTTGCCCTTGGTATAATTAAATTAATTAAAAATCTACTAATGTGAGGTAGATAATAAGGACTTATCATACCAATGATAATAAGCACAAACACCCAGGTAGAAATGATAGAAGAATGAATTTTTCAAATAATAACCAAACTTCTCAGTTTCACATGTAAGTAGATCTGACAGTTTGTACTATTAACAGCCATAATGGCCAATCTGCAAAGTAATGATGGCAAATTCAAAAAGCAGGCTAGATTATGGGAGTAGTGTATTATTCTGTGGTTTGTCATAATATCCAAATTATATAAAGCAAGCAATAAGATGAAAGCATAAATATTTAAACTTTATTATAACTAATATAGAACTAAACTTTATTAGAACTATATAAAAACTATTAGAACTAGCTAGTATTGGATTTTCTACTACAGTTAGTAGTTGAAAAATTACATAATTACTAAGGAGGTTTTGCCCCACTTGCATCATGTACTTGCCTCATGGGTTTTTGCCTACTTGTTCAAAAATTTGCAATGATCATCTTATATGCTGATATATGTAATTCCTATATTAATTATATCAGTGTGATTATACAAATTAGCTAATACATTGTGAAGCATTGAGTTAGTTGTTGAGATTAACAAAACAATTCTTAAAACTTATAATTTGCCATTTTATTTCTATTATCCTAAGTAATTAAATATAAATAAAATTCTTATCCTATCTGATAGTCTGTCTAGTATCATGA